CCAAACCACCATAAGATTTGGCAATTGTTCTTTGGAAATGGTCCATTGCTAGTGATTGCCATATTGCAGTTTGTTAGAGCGACATGCACATTTTTATGTTAAGCATTTTGTCTTTGAACGTAATCCAACATCAAACAAGCAGAGAGCATTTGTCTCGTCCTTTAACAGGAAAAGTTTGTTCCATTGGCGTTTATGAACTGTTCGGTGATTAGTCTTGGTAGACAAGTTAGATGACACTAGTCACACTACAAAGAATACCATTTGCTTTTATTGCTTGGATTTTAAATGACAAGCCTTTTGCATTGTTGCTTTTAATCTACTTTTGCTGGTTGTCTGGTTAGTGGATTCACTGGCCATTGCTATAGGTGTTGTAGCGAAGATTGTGGCTTGTCATCTTGATTTTCTCATTTGGTAAAAATGCTGGTTTCCTCAGAAAGATGAACTTTGGTCACTGATTTGTTGACCGAGCCTTGTTATATCTATGGTTGGTAGTACGTACAGTTTATGTTTCTTGCATGTTTGTATATATTGCATACTACAAAAATCCATATTGACGGAAACGCACTCACTTACCATTTTGCATTATTTTTTTACGATTAAGAAAAACAAGATCAGTATATTATATGAACTCCAAAATCTTAATTATAGGCGGTCTAAACCGAACAAACCATGGAACATACAACTCTGTTCACTACATTGTTTTAATAGACACGAATTTTTTAAAAACTAGATAAACCAAACAAACCATGGAATAAAGTGTTCTCCTGCAAAAGAAGTCGCTCATTCGAGAAGCTGCAAAAAGAAAAACATATACAATGAGAAGAGGAAAAAACCTTTGATTTCGAAACATAAGAATATGCACTACACTTACTATGAAATTAGTCACAAGTCCACGGTATCGAGCTACTCTCGTATACTCGTTATCCCCTAACTCTTTGCCGCCAGAATTTTGAAACTCCCAAAAGGGAACTCCATTCTTCTCAACCCCCATGCCCACAAAAAAACATGTAATGACCCCATGTCGGCGACGACAACTCATCCCAAGAGGGATCGTAGACAGACTGTGTGACATGGGAAAAAAGTCGACCTTAAACTAAAATTGTATTGAAACTGTAAACGAATTAAGAACAATCAAAAGATAATACCTTTCCTTCCACACCGCTGTTGGAATTGCACATTATCACGCGTGCGGTAACCGGACAAACTTTGAGTGCAGACTCAAGCTTATGCTCAAATGACATAACATTTTTATAATATTTTTCACCATACTCATTTTCTTCTTCAACTTCAGGAGGGAGAGAGACAACTTCAAAATCCGCTATCTTGAATCTCTTAAACTCCATCTGACCATCATGTTGATCAAAAATATGAAAATTCACAAAAAGAAAAAAAGTTCCAACGAATTTGTTAGGCTCAAAAGCTTATCTCAGAGTAGCTTAACCTCTGGTTAATCGTCCCTGTTATAGGGCGTAGAGCAGCCTCAACTGTTCCATCGCTCTTCAAATACTCCAAAGCCTCCTCAATCTCTACTATTCCTCCATTCATATCTTCTTCTTTATAACGGGCAGGAACCAAATTCACAAACTCTTGAATAGATAAGTCCACTGAAAGTCCCGCCTTTCTAAAAAGTGCTTCAAGTTGTCTTATTATTGCAACTGCCCGGCAGATATATTTATCTTGCTCCATGACATAACTCAGAAGACTAGGACTGATAATCCTCCACGAAAAGTATGTTCTGTTTCGCTGCAAATCAATAGGTTTCCAGCAATTAGTAATTAAAATCAACTTTATCAAACCAAAAAAGACAGAATTTAAAAGATTAGATTCAATTTACCAAATCAGTTTTAATTATGAAAAGGTTATTTTCCAAAGATTTAGAAAAAGGATTAGTTTTTAAAACAAAAAGAAAATTAAGATTATTTTTACAAATTTCCTCTAAAACTTGTGTATAGCATATACTCACGTATTTACTAATAAAAACACTAACTGTTTGTATCCAACAAATTAAATTGTTTGAGACTACTATGCATAAATTGAAGGTAAGTATTCAAATGTAAATAAATTATTTTGGATTGCTCTTCGAATATATCTTTATATCAATATAAGAATTTTCTGTTATTTTGTAAACAAAAGAGATATCAGACTCACCCAACAATGAAAATAAAGTGTCATAAGAAAGCACCAACATTTTAATTGCTGTCTGTCTGTATTTACCATAAAGCACCAACATTTTAATTGGTGTCTGTCTGTATTTACCAGACTCATATATTGAAAAACAAATCTTAG